CACCAATTCGTGAACATCAGCCCTAATATAGTGAATTTTTACACATTCGGCCGAATTCAGCCTAAAAAACCAGTTCAAATATAGCTATAGCTCCCATGTTTATGTTTCATCCGATTTTGTACTTCACAATCCTAAAATGCACTCGACAACAACGATATTTCTTGCCAGTTATGAGATACAACATACTTTTACTTTGGCCGAATTTTATAAATATACTTTATCCGATCCGATCCGATCCCAAATAGGATGGATTTTTGTGGAAATCGTTTTCGATATGACTATATCTCCGATAAATTCAAGCGTTCTCAAAGTCGTGAGATACAAATGCCCCCGTCAAATTTTGTGGATATCGATTCAGTTTGTAGTTTCTTTCGATTTCAAATGATACCTGCTCTAAAGCCAAATACACATTCAAAAACGTTAATTTTTGGTATGGCACAATTACAATTCTTTTGGTGTTAATATTCTGTCAAAACATATACACAGTTTGAATACGTGGATATTGTTTTGAATAAAAAAGAATAGAAAATAATTTGAAATTATTTCAAATTTAAAACTAACCGAAATGCATATTGTTCACGTTAACGGCAACAAAATGTATAATTTTGGATAAATAATCAATTTTAGGTGTGTCTGGTTACTTTTCCTGCAGGAATTGTCCAGCAACTTCTTTTTCTGAGAGAGTAGGTTACAAGGGTGGCTTGGAAACTTCTTAGTCTATCAATGAAAGAGAATAGTTAGTTTTTCAAAAATATTTTTAATTTTCAATATAATCTCCTGAAACTTCAATACACTTAGTACAACGCTTTTCCAGCAATTCTGTCTCTTGATTAAAATAGTTTTCCTCAAGGTCTTCAAAACAGTGGTTTACAACTGTTTTGAGGTAAAACGCTTTATTTGAGGTAAAACGCTTGTCAGCAAAGAATTTTTTTAGATTTGGGAACAAGTCACTGGAGAAAAACAGGAGAATAAGGTGGGTGGTCAAGCAACTCGTTAAAACAAATTGTTAAAACACCCTTGTGTGCTGGTGCATTGCCTTGATGAAAAATTATTTTTTTACGTTGTAAGGACGCTTTTCTCGAATTTGCCCATTTAATTGATCCAAAAGTTTGCAATAGTACTCTGAAGTTATTCTTTTACCCTTTTGCAGATAGTCAATCAATAAAATACCTTTGAAGTCCCAAAAAACCGTTGCCATAACCTTACCAGCCGATTGAATTGTTTTTGCCTTCTTTGGGACACTTCCTCCAGCTTCAGTCCATTGTTTGGATTGTTCTTTTGTCTCTGGAGTATAGTGGTGGATCCATGTCTGATCAACAGTTATGAAACGATTTTATTTCGCTTAAAACGATCCAAACAAATGTGAGAAATGTTCATTCTTATGCGTTGTTGATCGACTATTAACAAATGCGGCGCCCATCTTGCAGAAAGCTTTTTTATCTGTAGTTCTTCATGCAAACTTAAATGGACTCGATCATTTGAGATGCCCAGAGATGGATGTTTCCAAAACACTTAACTTTTCTGTTTATACCGCACTTTTTGTGCTAGGCTAAGTTTCCGAACTGCCCTCGTATAGCCTGCTTTAAATATATTTCATAAATAATAAACATAATATATTTATATTTTTCAGCACAGAAATATTCATTACTTTTACATTTAATATTGAAACATTATATGCATTTTTTATTTTCTTTCTTTATTTTTATAAGCTCCACCATAGTATGGAAGGTATATTAAGTATGTCATTCCGTTTGTAACACCTCGAAGTATACTTTTTAGACCTCACAAACTACATATATTCTTGATCAGCATAAAATTCTATGTCGATTTAGGCATGTCCTTCCGTCTGTGGAAATCACTCTAGCTTCCGAACTAATTAAATTAGGTTTATAAAATTTTACTCAAATGTAAATTATGTCTACAGGATTTTTGGTATTGAAAATGGGACATGTAGGTTCACGTTTTGGTATAGCCCCTACATAACGGTACCTCGTGATATTCGGTATTTTGATGATTTTAGCGACATTATTCACCGGAATTATTTCAAGTTTGGTATTTGATGTTCGTAATGGACACTACAGCCTATGACAGGAGATTGTCTGTACAGGTCCACGTCTTCGTACAGCCCCCATATAACGGTACCTCCCGATATTCGGTATTTTGATGATTTTAGCGACATCATTCACCGGAATTATTTCAAGTTTGGTATTTGATGTTCGTAATGGACGCTACAGCCTATGACAGGAGATTGTCTGTACAGGTCCACGTCTTCGTATAGTCCCCATATAACGGTACCTCCCGATATTATCCCCCATATAACGGTACACCCCGATATTCGGTGTATTATTGACTTTAGCTACATTATTCGCCGATTTTTTTTTCTAAGCTTCGCATTTGACGGTTGATTTTTAAAAATTTTTCTACCGAAAATTGTGGATATTTTACAAAAGCTTCGAGAGTTTCGAAAAAAAAAATTTGATTACTTGATGGAATAGATCAATTTTTGAATAATTTCGGATCACAAATAATTGATTATTAAACAATATATTCGGATCTCAGATCGGGGAACTACTCCATGGTTATAATTCTCAACATTTTAATATTTGATATAAGTCCTATTGTTCATTGTAATGTCTACAAATCAAAGGAATTTTCGATCTAGAGAGCTTCCCTGATACCTTAATTTAGTATAGTGATCTAAAATACAATTTTGGGAATGCCACTGGTTGTAAATTCGTGTCAGTGAACATAATCATTCGAGCTAAATAATTTTAAAACTATACTCTCCCGGCTTAGGCATTCATCCCGGGCTAAAATTATAAAAAAAATTGATACTTTGTTGGCATTTTTTAAGACGAAGAAGGTATGACTTTCCCTCCAGCTTGTACCACTTTGAATTAAAATTATAAAAACTTTTTTTGGGTTAGGATTCAAATTGATTCCAAGAATTGCATTTCTGTCCTACCTTCTCGCAAAATAAAAGCGAATAAAGTTAAGGAATCAGGTTGAATTCCAACTCAAAAATTTGGTTTTATAATTTTAGCCCCAAATTTATGGCAGATAGAAGTTTGAAGGGGTGAGGTCATAACTTCGGGGTAACATAATTTGTAAATTCGCCATTTCCAGAAGTAGTAGACTGAACTTTCAGAATAAGATTTTAAAAGCAATTTAAAAATGCACTCCCTTTGAGGGTTATGATGCGCACAGATCGACTACAACGATACATCTGATTGTATTAAAAATTCTTAGTTTATTTGTGACGTTTCTGATGATATTATGTAATGCGAATTCAAATCAACAATTTTCAACGTACCAAATTGATGCCAGATGGAGTGAAAGGGTTATCTTGCAATTCTACTGTATTCCACAATTACAGAAATTTAATTTGAAGTAAAATTGGACAATTTTTGCTTCTTAAACTAACAGAGTTAAGAAAAATTTTTTTTTCATCAAAATAGTAAACGTAAATGATTTTATAGAAATGTGCATACGCGTGTATTTATTAATTTATTTATTATTAATTATAAGTTATAGATATTGCAGCTCAAATCAAAAAATTCTAGAAACGGAATACAAGATATGGAATACATGGGAGGAAGAAACGTATTTTTTTCAACCAACGAAAGTGTATAATAGGTACATAAACAAAGGACATCAAGGGAATAAAACGACATACGACAATCGCCGTCGGGAAATCAAAATTACAAAAAAATTCAAGGTATCAACAACAATTGCTTGGCTTACACTACTACCAATGTTCGATGGCGGTTCAACACTTGACTGTTTTTTTTTTTTTTTTGGTTTATTTGTTCTGTGACGGAGAGAATATAAATGGGGAGCGAAAGGACCCCATCATTTAAGCAGAGAGAATTTTTGACTTTGCATTGTCATTTCCATGACAGAAAAAAACAGTCAGAACTCAATTCAATGAGCACTGGATGAACTTTTTTTACCGTTCTTATTATTTCAGTTATAAGAAAACGAGAGAGAAAGAGTAAATAAATGTTAAAAAAGAGACAGAAAATCTGCCCGCTGAAAGAGCGCAAGCGATTTAGTTTTGTTTTTATTGTTTTTGGAGGAGAAAACCAATACAGACTCTTCAGTGTTGTTTTTGTTTCTGTGAGACATCTGTTCGAACTGTCATAAATCTTAATTTCATGATGGAAAGAAATGAAAGCCAGCGACAGTCAGTCATAACGAAATTGAAACTAACTACAAAGTTCATACATACAGTCAGAAGTTATGTACATACTACGTGTAAATTAAAACATTGAATGTGTTCAAGAACCTGATCAACACGAAATTTAAGAAAATGCAATATACTAAATTGACGAATATGACAACATTTGATTGATTTGTAGAAGACATTTTCGAAAGCAATTTTATTAAATAAGGTATATACTAATTCTTTACTCTTGGCGAAGTAGCAGAATTAGCATTGCCACAATTATATACAAGAAAAAAAGAGAGGGCGAAAAATAAATTAGCTAGTTTTCTCTGTCTTTCCGTTGATAAATTAAATGAGCATCAGCTGTTAATACAACAGTCCATCAATGGCTCATCAAAATTGAAAAGTACAAACTCACTCTCACACCAATACTCACAACAAACCAAAACAACAACAGGGTACACGAGATATAATGAAACGAAATGAGACAAAGCATTTGGAGGGGAAACAGTACACACTCTCTTCTCTATAAAAATATTTGGTATTTGAAAAGAGAGCGCGAGCAAATGCCGCAGAATTTCAATGAAAAAATATTTTAAGAGAATACGAAATGTCGACGGCACACTGGCATTTGCAGTGGAAAAACTAAAAGGGGAAGAGACAAATAATATGGTCTCTTTTAAGAGAGTATTAATTTCTTATTGGAATATTGCAAGGGAAACGTGAGCAATTCGTATACTTTTTTAAAAATTCGAGAATTCGTTCAATGTGGTAAAATTAAGAGTTCACATGGCAGCTGTTTGCGAGATTTTAGTTTCCCAATAACCTTTAATACGTGAGATCATATTTGAAGCGGTTTTTTTTTTCAAAAATTAAATTTAAATGCCGCCGTAAACTGTGACTTTTCGTTTTAGTTGTTAAAAAATTACGAAATCTATTTTTAAAGGGCCGTTATAAATTTAAATTCCCTTCAAAGCTTTTTTCTCCTGTTGCAAGAAATTTAAAAAGAGCTGAGAAATGTAAACATATTGTCTGTAAAGAAATAATAAAGAGTGTCAAATATCGACGGAACTTCCTAGCGCGCGAGTAGCAAATTTGTCATATGCCCATGAATTTTCTGCTGAAGGAAAACTTTCATTCCAAAGTTAATTAACTGGATAAAATTGTTAAAGAGTGTCTTACAACAGCTAGCAACCCACAACGGCTGGTGCGGAGTTGGCGCAGTATCTACTGTCTTATATTCATGTAAAAATTCGAGTGTGAAGTTCATACATTTGGTTGGAAATCAGCAACGTGCTGATAATTTTGATGGACCCAACAAGCCTGACCGAAGCATTTGCCATTATTAGACATCACGCGTACGTTAAACAGAGCGGATGTGGTAGAAAACGGAAGACGGTAGCGATTTATAAAATTAAATTAAACCACAAAACGGCGTAAATGAAATACGAAATTTACCTATTTCGTGTTGGCAAATAAACAATTCGGAAGTTGCATTTAATAATAAATGCGAAAAAAAGAAAAGTAAGCACTTTGACTACTTTGTGGAAAAATTTAAAGAAGGTTAAGAAACAAGAGTGTTAAATAAGTACAGAATAATTTAACAATTTAAAAATAAAATTAAATGAAACATTTTTTAATAAAAAATTGGAACTGAATAAATTAAAAAGAATCCCCAAGTTTGATGGGTGACTCAATGTTTGCATAGTTTGTGCAGCATCTACAGATGAGTGAAGTCATATTGACGGTCGACGTTGCACGCATATCGCATACACACTCACACAAATAAACACCAGTGTCAAGTTAAAACCCGCATACTAAGCGCCAACACTTCATTACCTCCCCTTGCCAAAAGCAAAAAAAAAAACACAACGGATCTTTGAAAGAGCGTTTTTTACCTTTTGACGCCTTACTAATCTTGCAATTGAGAAGAAAAATCAGAGGCAAAAGTATGGTTAAATACGCGTGCTAAACTGTTACTCTTCAATTTCAATTGAAACCTGTCGAAAATCAAGAAAAGTTGCCAGAAAAAATCACAATTCCAAACCACCAACAAAAAAGAGGGGTCAATCAGCTGCCCAAACAACTCAAAAGAAGCAACACATTCGAAACAAGAATCGCACACACACACGAGCGCACCAATACACCGCAACACTACTCCATCGCCAGCTGCAGCAGCCGCAGTAACAGCAACAACACAAAGAAAGCCTTACACAAGAATTGACGAGAGCAGAGTACAAAGAAAGCATCATTCACTCTTATTGTCGCACGTCTCATCAAACTTCGTTCATTCGGTTTTTGAGACATCGTGTGCTCCACTCATCTTTATCATCATCTCATAGCGACCGTAGCAGCAGCGACAGCGGCATCACCATCGTCATCACACAAAACTTCGTTTTTGATGCGCCTTTCTTGTCACAAGAGTGAAAGAGGGGGAGCAAGTGTGTGTGAGAGTACAACTCTGTGTATGACGATTTTGTTGGCCTGAGTATTGTCAGTCAGTCAGTCTTCTTTCTTTCCGTTTGTTGTTATTGTGTGTTGAACCACACTATACAACACATATCATCGAACAATAACAACAAGTCAACACAGAGCGCGCACACACAACATCAACGTCAACATTGAAAGCAGCGCAGCCGACCAGCCAGCATTGAGTTTTCTGTGATTAAGTGACGACATTCGCTGTTTGACTCTCAAACGGTTAACGACGGTTATCTGGCCATAACGGAAATACGCCGCCACCGCGCCACACGCACAAAACAAGATTTGAGAAACGCCGAATTAAATCAAAAAAGAAATAGAATAAAAAATCCAAACAAACTCGCCAAGACTTGTGTGTTTTCTTTCACATTTCTGTTATTACCATTCAGTTCAGTGGACACCAACAGCTAGCAAGAATGCTGCTCGTAAGAACAAACAAAAAACGTGAACTTGTGTTGATGTGATAAAATAAATTATTTTTCTTTTGTTTCAAAATAAAAACAATGAATAAAAATTCATATCTAGTCAAATGCTACAAAACGTTGAGTTATTGGCAGAAATAAATTAACAAAAAAACCTGAGAGATGGCAAAATAAAATTACTTAAAATAAAATAAATAAAAATCCAAGACTGATTAAAATCCAAAAAGAAAACAAAAACGAGAATAACTAATTCAACAAATTTAACCCATTTATAAACCCTCGTCCCACAAACACACACAAACCTCAGCCAACCGACTTAAAACACTACAAAATTCGTTAACAAAGTATACGTAAAATGAAACAAAAATCAATACAAATTAATAATTAGAAATACCTATATTTAAATAATATCGTAATAAACTAAAGAAGAAAATTATTTATTAAGTTATTAAAACAAAAAGCAAAACAAAAAAGAAACCCCCCTTAAACGTAGAGTGCAAATTAAAATATTTTCCTAAAATAAAATAAAAAACAAATATTGCTCATATAAAAAAAAAACAAACAACAAAAATATTTGATGTAAACAAAAACCTTAAAAATACCTTTAATATTTAACCGAATGTATACGATTCATTGCAATTATTAATTAAATTAAAATACAAAAAAATAAAACAAATTTAAAAAATTAAATATTTTCTAAATTTAAAATCAAACAAAAATTTCTAAAAAAAAAATAAAAACAAAACAAACAACTACGATTAGTTCTATTAATAACATCCAACAACAATTATACGCGTACATAGTGCAAAACAAAAAAATAACAATAATTTATTAAATATTAAAAACCAACTAGAAAAAAACACTCAAAACAACATTAATAAATCTTCAGGAGCAAAACCATCATTCGACCACCTAGACCGTTGTATACACATACAATTTTAAATTTAAACCAAAAAAATATAAAATTTATGATTGTTTAAAAAATTATATTAAAAATAAAACAACAAATTTCTATAAAATTTTGAAATTTCCTTCAAATTTTGTGTGTTAATATTTTTGTTTTTGCCCAAAGTTTGAGTGAAGGCTAAAACATCAACAATCAGAACAAAAACAACAACAAATTCATTTCATCAACAACAACAAACATCTCAAAATGCTGCACGAAGCTTTAATGTTAGAAATCTATCGCCAAGCATTGAATGCGGGGTAAGTTGTTCGTTCCGAGATTTTCCTCTTCACCATTTCATATTTTTTTATTGGTTTTTTGTCAAAATAAATCAAAATTTTTGTTGATTTGATGTGTTTTTCTTATATATCCGAATAAGATTAGTAACGTCAATATTATTTTTTTTTTTGAATTGTTGTTGTTGTGGCTTTTGAAACATCATATAGGTATTAATAAATTAGCTGCTAAGTGGGGGAGACGTTTTGAGCAAAAAGAATTGTTTTTGTTTTTTCTTCGGTTCAGTTTGTTTGCCTTCAAAAAATATTTTCAGCAACATTGTTTTTTGTTATTTGGCTATTGATAGATAGTGGATCGTCATGTGCTATGGCGGTGGGCGTAAACGACAGAAAAAAATCTAAGCAAATTAAGGGACAGTTTTTTGATGAATTAAATTAAAGCAAACATAAGGTGATTAAGAAACTAAATCGTTGACATTATTAAAATCGGTTAAAAGAAACGGAACAACAAAAACATAATAAAATGTGTGATTTATGAATGAAAGCCTAATACACATACATACACATACACGTATTAAAATTTGTTAATAACGACCTCCAAGCGACCGACAATTATTGTCATTATAAATTCCTTTTATTTAAAATATTCTTCATTTCACTGTCAAACATCCATTAAACCGGAAAACATGTCTCGTCATATAGAAGTTTATCTGGAAAACTGATGTTTTGCATTAAAAACATAATTAATAAAAATTGTTCTGTGATATAGGTTATATCTCGGCTGAAGAGTTTTAGCAATGTTAAAGCAGTTTGTTGCCAATCATGGTATATAATTCACAATTTTATATCACTTAAATCCAATTATAAAATATCCGAAAACAAAAGAAATGTTTATAGACCTGCCCAACTCCCCATAAGTAATTAACAATTACTAGCACCAGAAAATACAAAAGGACAAATAGCAAGTTGCAAAAACCCTTGGCAATTGTTATGGATTCGACAGGCAAAGTCAATGCGATTTCATGTGATTGCATAGAAATCAAACCCTATGGCCTAGTAGAAATTCAAATGTGTCCAAAAAATAGTGCAAATCTCTGTTCCAAATATTGAATTGGCATCATGTGCGGCGTTTTGTAGAATTATTAATAAAAATAAATAGTTTTTTGGTCGTGCAGTTCTATTTTCCGCGATAACTTTACAAAATATGAAAAACACTTTGAAAGACATGCTGCTTGTTCGCTTTTTCTTTATTTCCAAATGTTGGCATTTCTGAACGACGTTGTTACTCATCCCGCAATCAAATGTTACTAGTTATTTCTTTTGAGCTTCTTAAATTTTAAAATCCAGTCGGAAGAGACAATCCGTTACCAAGAATCAACTTTCATTTATGAATGTTGCAAGTATATATTATATTCATAATTACAGATAGTTTGAAAGTCTAATTTTGAACAAATGCACAAATATTTTTTAAAAATAGAAATAGCCACCAACTTGGTGCTCGCAGAAGAATTTAATAAAAAATAATGTCGTCCTTCAAGGAGTTTAATAGATTTTACTCAGAGTTTGCATATAATGTTTAGTAGTCTTGCAACTGAATATAATATTGACTTAGAGGAAAGTGGAATAGTTCCATTTTAAATTCGCCACTACATGTTAAAAACAATTAACTCGAATTTCTAGCTTTCTGAAGTGTATTTTGAACTAGTGCAATAGTAACACAAATTAATTCAAATAACAACGTTTTTATCAAATGTTTGACGGTTATTTTCAATATAAAAGCTGAAAAATGGCGATGATGAAAGTAATACAATACATTGGAGTATTGTCGAATAATTTCGATATTTTAGCTGTTTTACCATTTTTTCTTACATTTCGCTTTTGTTTTTTCTAGCGTAGCCCCTAAAAATATAGAAAAACCCAGCTAATATATAATAATTTTTTACTATCCTAAAATCACTGGAATATGTTATCCCTCACTGTAATCAACAACTTCTAACAATAGTGTATTTCGTTGTTGCAAAATGGTCAGGCTTATCCCTTTATTGTTGTTTTTATAAAAACAACGTTTGTTTATTAGTGGAGAACGATGGTTATGTTTACCAGGGGGTAAGGCAGGGAATATCTACGTTTCGGAAAGAGCCACCAATCCTCATCAGTTCCCTTGTTGTTTGTCTGGGATATTCTCCCCAGAAGTTATTTTAAAAATAACTTCTATGACAAAAAACATTTTTTACCCAAGTGTCGAGATCGTAAGCTCAATAGAAGAGGAACCAAAGAATTAAATAAAACTAAAATTCTTTTGGAAAGTCTTCTAAATCTTACAACCGCACTTATAAACATTTACATCTTTCTCCACTTGTTATGCTTTCGTTCAACCTGAACGAAGTAGCATAACCATGTAAGTTGGTTTTGTCTGTTACAACAAAAACCCCTTCGTCTACCGTGCCTTGTCTATAAATAGAACAGTGTGGCTTGTTTGTTCGGGATACCGTAGTATTTTGTTGTTGCAAAATGGTCAGGCTTATCCCTTTATTGTTGTTTTTATAAAAACAACGTTTGTTTATTAGTGGAGAACGATGGTTATGTTTACCAGGGGGTAAGGCAGGGCATACCTAGGTTTCGGAAAGAGCCACCAATCCTCATCAGTTCCCTTGTTTTTTGTCTGAGATATTCTCCCCAGAAGTTATTTTAAAAATAACTTTTATGACAAAAAACATTTTTTACCCAAGTGACGAGATCGTAAGCTCGATTTCGATTTTTCATTAATTCGATTTGAATCAAGCACTACTTGTATGAAATAGGTGTATTTAATTAAACTATACATCTTCATTGAAATATTTTTCAAAATTTAAGTTTGATTGTATGAAATAGGCATATTCAACTAAAATATCAATCTTTATTAAAATATTTTTTTTTTAAATTTCAAGTCTGAATTAAAATTTGATAATTGCCTTCCATATAAAATATCAACCTAGTTAAAAAATATACATATTCAGCAAAACGAAACATCGAAATTATATCTAGGTCTTCTGTTCATCTAGTTCATAAGTGAGCGTGTTTTAGTGCAAGCCGCCAATTTCTCTTAGTTTTTTGTAAACAATTAACCAATTAATTTATGTTTGTTATTTATTAATTTATCTTAAAAATTAGCTTTAATAACCATTTTAGATAATATTTATAATACAACTTTTGATATAAATGATAAAATATAATGAAAAGTGCAATTTCTCATAAACAATATCTTTATATTATTTTGCTCAGCTCTGATTTAGTTCCTTTAATTTATTTTATGTGGCGCTTTTAAGTTACTGGATAAAAATTAAGTATGTTTTTTAATATTTTTTGACTGCACTTCAAAAAGAACTGAAAGAAACCCCCTTACCCTTTTTATTACAAAACAGTGTACAATTTAGATCGTATTTGAATATATAATTTTTGCAGTACCTATAAATATGTATTTGTTTAAGATTCCTAAAAAGAGCAAGATGTGCATATTGTTAACTCAAACTCTAACAATTGATTAATATTAGCATATAAATGTCGTGAATATTACTTCAATTAAACCATAATAGAGCAATTTATTGTCACAACTGGCGTAAATTCGATCATGAAACATAGTTCTTCAGTTCTTAAACTTATATTCCAAGTATCATTCCACATGAAAATGGGTCCAATTTAAACTATAATTTAAAGACTGTCGCATCATATGTTTATTACTTCTCACAGATATAAATAAAAAAAATTCAAACACGAGTCTTTTTGAAAACCTCTTCTTATCAACAGCATATATATGTCTGTCTATCTATTAATATTTCTTAAAATATATATTTTTTTCTTCACTTTGAAATTTCTAATAATTCAAATTAATGAAATGAAATTGTTTTTGTCATTTAATCGTTGCCTCTCCCCTCAACATCACCGAACACATATACGTACATACAATTGTTTTAATACCAAGGCACATTCGATAGGGACTGAGTGAGTGAGTGATATTTCATAAACAATCATTATTTATGCCATTCGTTTCATTCTAAACGAAATGACAGTTTTATTGCACAGTACTACAGTAAAGATCATGCATATTAGACTATAATTGATCTACAACCACCAAACGTCACTTTGAAACTGTGTTAGACGACAGCCACACCACCGTTGAAACTACAAATCGCCATATTTGATATGGAATCGGTGGATTGTTTGACACGGTGTTGCAGGGGTGCTACATTAATAATTATAGGGTTGTTAGACAGCATTTTTAAAAATTCCAGTTCCATTATAAGTTTTTCAGAAAAACTCACAACTAAATACATACATATTTTTGTTTTTTATTTCATTGACTTGCCACATTTAATTTATCTTTCTGATATAATTTATGTTTATTTGTTATTAAGCCTTATGGTATTGATGTTACTCTTAAACATATATGTATATTTTTGTATTTCATTCTGCTAGTGTTGACAATTTGGAAATTTTTCTATGCCCGTTTATCCATCTATCGACTCGAACACATATAAAATATACATCTATCCTTCATATATTCTACATCCATAAATTTTATTCTCTATGCTAAATGTCTGACAAGAATTGACTGTTTAGTATTTCGTTTTGCGTATGACCTTATAACCAATAAATTTATTAATAGTTTTAATATAAATTATTAAACTAAAAAAAAAAACAAAATCCATACACATTATTATTAGCCAATAGCAGTGATATTGACATATGATACTAATTTGCTATTGCAGCGAAAAATTTATGATTTATAGCCATGATATGATAGTGAATGAAATCAAAAGACATGCTGACATGGTTATATATCTATGTACATATACATATGTACAACAAAAATGTTGCTCGCCAACAACAGCAAATTTGTTGTACACAATCAAAGCAAAGAGGCGTTTTTCAATTGCACCCCACAGCTAAAATGTTTTATGTAAAAAACATTGAAAACGAATTGAGAACATATACAAATTATTTGCAAATGTGAAAATTTCATTAGCAACATTTCTTGATACACAAGCCCCATTGACATGGTGACAAATAATTTGTTAAGATAGACAGCCAACAATTGTCGGACTTTTAGTAGTGGCCATTAAAATACATACACATATGAGATTAAAATCGGACCTTAGGTACATTATGTTCACTTTAATTACTGAAAATATAATATATAATTATTGAATAAATAATATAACATAAATACATCAATAAAAACAATAATTAAGGCCATTTTTTGGAATTTATATTATTTGCACTATTTTAATTACTACAGATCTATTTTCTCTTAAGAAATATTAAGCATAAGGTATTTCTAAAATATTTGACCATAGATAAATATAGTTAAGATAGGACTGTCGGAAATATTTTAATGATTTTGAAGCCATTTTAATTCATTCAATTAATCAAATTGATATCGAAATTTGCATTCGCATTTCGCTACATTCATTCCAATATGAGTCATAACATTGAACTAGTCATCAATTTGATTGAAAACGACAGCTTGTTATTGAGTAATTTTATGGCTGGAAGTGTCTCCAACATTATTTTCCAATATTTGGTTCATTGAAAAGCAAAAACATCTCATGCCATTCATTGATCTAGACAATCTTTAAGGCATTTATCTCCATTGTTGAGCAATAATTTATTAAGTTGACAAGTACAGTGGGCAAAACCAAAAAATCAGAAACAATAATTAATATTTACAACCCAAAAATACATGACACTTTCTTGCTTTCTAAATCTTCTAAATCTTTCACCAGTATGCTTTGGGAATCTTTAACTTACTTATGTATATGCTCAACAGAGCAGAAGTATTATATTTTATACTATTTTAATCTCTTTTTCACATAAAATCAAAATATTCTCCCAAAATCTCAGTTAAAAGATGTGCACTAAAATACAAATTTTTAATAGAAATTCTAATAATATTTACGAAAAAATAGCTTTTCTTCTTTAAAAATGTCTCCATCATAAGTGCACTTTTATGCATAACAACTCTCAAACAAAAACATGCATGCCCTGTCACACCGTTCGTTGCCTTGTGTTACGTCTCGCACTCTCTTGGGTGCGAGAAAAATATGATGAAAACGAAGATTAATAAGAAAAAAAAAAAAATAATAATAATAATACAAACATACATAGCGATATGATTTTTTGCTTTATATCGTTGTCGTCTCGCTTGATTTGCATAACAAATAAAAACGTTGACATATTGTGAGCTATTTTTAAGATTAGTTGAAATCATTTAGTGGTGATAGAAAACATTTTTCAAAAGTTAATGGGATCTTACACACATACACACATCCTATACGTCGTACGTACATGTCACTATTTTTTCTGCCATTTAGTTATCATGTAGGTAGTTTGTTTTCATGTAGTGACAGTCGCTTATATTTAGTTCATAGTACGAGTAGGAGGCAATGTTTATCACATTCTCTTTATAATTTATTTTTCTATAGACACTGGGATTTATTACTAATTTAGTAATTTTGTTTAATTTTTTTTTTTACAGAGCTTTGCCAACCGCACGTCCGCGGTCCACCGAATCGGCCAATTCCAGTGAACGCTGTCCATCACATGAATCAAATTCCTCCGAGAATGGTAAAGATCATCGTGAAAATAACATAAACCAACCGCCAGCCGGTGTTCTACCCCTACCAACATCACCTGGCGCCTTCCCAGCCATTCCAAATCTTCCAGCCCAGCCACCTTCAATGGAAGCCTATTTACACATGGTGGCCGCTGCCGCACAGCAATATGGTTTTCCACTGGGTGCTGGCCCTCGTTTGCCATTGCCCATGCCATCAGAGGCTGCTGCCTTCAAACTACCACCTCAAGCTTCACCCACTGCTTCCAGTAATCATTCGGAAGCTCTAGATTTTCGTACGAATCCCTTTGCACGATCCGGCTCTGCGGGACCAGCCGCATCCGATGAGGAGGAGGAGGAGGAAGAGGAAGCTAACGACGGCAATAACCCCTTAGATCTGTCCTGTGGTACACGTAAACGTTCCGCTGAAGATGAAGCCGAGACGGATTCATCAGTAGGCCAGATACAGGTTAAGAAAATATTTAAGTCTGATAGCCCTCCTTTGGCACCAGCTCCTGCTGCCCAACCTGTTCCTCCCAACCCAATGATGCCAGGAGTCAATCCATATTTAGCTGCCGTGGCAGCTGCCAACATTTTTCGTTCAGGACAATTCCCTGATTGGAATGGCAAAAGTGATTTAGTTGTAGATCCCTTGGAGAAAATGTCTGATATTGTTAAGGGGCCGCGTAAGGAGAAAAATTCCCGCAGTACCGGAAATACACAAGCTAATGTGTCTCAACCAGTTACTCCTCAGCCACCAGTCGCTGCGCCCAGTAATACTGCCCCACCTCCGGCCAGTGAAGGAATTACCAAGACCAGACACAACATCTGGCAGTCACATTGGCAAAATAAGGGTGTGGCCAGTTCTGTATTCCGATGTGTCTGGTGCAAACAAAGCTTCCCCACATTGGAAGCGTTGACAACCCACATGAAAGACAGCAAGCATTGCGGTGTAAACGTTCCACCGTTTGGAAATTTGCCCACAGCCAATGAAAGACCTCCTCCGCCTAGCCAACCGCCACAGGGAGCAAATCACCTGAGACAACCTCACAACAAGGGCAACAACACGGGCCCGTCACAGGCTGCAAAAAATGCATTCCAATTCCGTGGGGATCCCCCGACCCCGCTGCCTCGTAAATTGGTACGCGGTCAAAATGTATGGCTGGGAAAGGGCGTTGAACAGGCCATGCAAATTCTCAAGTGCATGCGCTGCGGAGAGAGTTTCCGTTCTTTGAACGAAATGACCAAACATATGCAGGAAACTCAACATTACACCAATATCTTGTCTCAAGAACAAACGATCTCAATGAAGTCCACACCAAATGCAGCTTCAGGGGAGAACAAAGAAGGTCAAAGTTTGAGTTCCGAGGAAAGCCGCACACTTAGTGCCGTGCTTACATGCAAGGTGTGTGATAAGGCTTTCAACTCCCTGGGTGATCTAAGCAACCACATGGCTAAAAATAACCACTATGCCGAACCTCTAATGCAATCCATGGGTGGTGCCGCCGGTAATCGCAAAAGACCTGCACCCAAAAAGAGAGAAAAATCCTTGCCAGTTCGTAAGCTATTGGAAATGAAGGGTGCCCAAGATCAGTTGGAGCAAGAAATGGAAATGCAGAAAATGCAACGTCCCGGTATGGGTCCTGGGCCAGATAAAACGGAAGCTGCTCTGTTTGCCGAGCGCATGCGCCAATATATCTCAGGCATAAAACAAGATGAGTCTTCCAAGAATCTGATTTCTGCATCAAATGTACTTAACAAGGCCAAATCACCAGACTTAATTGAACCTAAAAATGGCGCAAATAAGAACAATACCGGGTCGTCTTCGGTTCTTAGTGCCATTGAACAAATGTTTACCACTAGTTTCGATACACCACCACGGCACGCCAGCTTGCCAGCCACCAGTCCTTCGAATTCGTCCACTAAAAATACCTCACCTGTGGCTTCCAATATATTGAAGCGTTTGGGCATCGATGAGAATGTTGATTACAACAAACCCTTAATAGATACATCCGATCCCTATTTCCAGCACTACCGTTACACTAGCAGTGAACGCAGTGCCAGCGAATGCAGTGCTGAAACTCATAATGATTCCAGAAAAATTGAAAATCCTACTCCAGAAAAATCTTTTGTCGAGGAAACAAATAACTCAACAGCTAGTAAAATGGACTGCGATGTAGAAGTCAAACGTGAGGTGTCCGCCGAGAAAATGGATACCGACGGTGCCACCAATCTGACCATTGACAATGTGCCAAAAATCAAGCAGGAAATCAAAGCTGAAATTGAGGATGAAATCAACAGTAATGAAGCGCGTGCTCAAAGTCCAAAAGAAAGATCGGCTGGTGATAGTGTTACTTCCAATGGAACTGATTATTCCACAAATAATAATAACAACAACAATAATAATAACACCAAAGATTGCCCAACACAGTCGCCCAAGATGGCTGCTAGTCCACAATCGCGTATTTTGCCACCTCGCAGTCCCACCGACAGCCACCGCTCTATGACACCCAAGTCTCCAGCCTCAAGCATCAAGTCGTACGATGGCGGCGAAAAGAAATATCCCAGTGACTCTCTCAACGCCCTCTCGTCTATGTTCGATTCTCTGGGCAGTACCACGAATTCATCGACCCTCAGCAGCCGGCCACAACCACAAAACACATCTTCATTGCTAAGTACCAAGCTTGATTCACCCGAGAATCTGACCACTTCCAATTCATTAGCCGCTTTACGCCAATTCTGCATTAAGAAAGAGAAAACCGCTTAAAAACGCTCTCCAACTTATTTCGTTTTTATTTTTCATTTCTATTATGGGAAACAGTGAGAAAAACATATTTTTTGTTTTTGCTATATTTCGTTGGCATCAAACGTCTCGCTCTCGGAGTCAGCCGCGAAATTATGATTTCTGTTTTTAACGAAGGGACAACGCTCTTTTAGCTGGCTGGGCGGAACCGGAACAAGCGTGCAACAAGTGAAACAAGACATGCCGTTTTTTAACGCCTCGATTTTGACTTATGATTTCCATGCAACTATGCAGATCACTACATCGTCTTTACATACATACATTTGCCGTTGTGCCGCTACAGATACTAGCGTAATGGGAAGCTCGCTTGCTTGCCTGCTTAAGGACCACTAAAGAGTGTTGATTATAATTTCGAGAGTAACCCAAAGCGATGTGGGAGAGTATGTGCGTGTAAAACTCTCTCAGCAGGGTAGAATTGCAACTCTGCGCCAAGGCGGCAATAAAAACAATGATGCTGCAACTCGTAAGCGTGCCACTTGAAGGGCAAACGAGAGTGATAATGTGCGAATTAAACAGAGTGGGATATATAGGCTACGAAAAAGTGTAGCAGAGTTAGCAAAAGACAGAGTCGTCAGCGACTAAGCGGATTATGCAGAAAAAAGACTGGAACTGAGACCCGTCTTAAAGTTTCTAAAGAAACATCATTGATAACGATGATGATAAACTGAAAAAATAAAATGTTGATGAAACATTCTGAGCCATATTTTACCAAATACCCCGATTAAGACATAAACTTAATTTTGGAGCAACGTAACTAAAAGGTAATTATTATTTTAAATTGTATTACCCTTTTATTGACTAGCTCATAATTAATTAATTTTAAAAGTATTTTTATTAAATAAATTCATTTTTTTTTCTTTTCTTTTTAGAAAATACTTGCCACAGTGTTCTACGTGTGCTCTATCATACCCTTTGAAAACTACATCATTTTTGGACTACGAATAGATGTCACTACAAATGTTATCTTGCCAATTTATGTGATAGAAACTCATGCCACAAATTGAAAATTCCCCAAACATCTTGCCAAACTTTTAATAATTGGATACCAACAACAACAACAACAAAAATAACCACATTTTTTGGACCTTAACTAATACAACATCATCCAAATTATAAACATCCAAATGAAACAGCCCTTTTCAGGGCTCCACTTTTTTGTTTAAAAAGAGATAAAGTGTTCTTTTGAACGTAAACCCATTTGAATTAATAATAAATATTCCTTTTTTCATTATTACAAAAATTAAGCGTATTGAGCGTGAAAATTGCACTTTTTATCCCCTACAACACAATATGTTGAGGATATTATAACGACATTTAGAATGGAGGTGGGGTTAGGGCCAGTATAAAAGCCTATTGTTTTTGGAGATGATCGTAAAATATTTGGGCGGTGAAATGGACCAAAAACGGAAAAATGTCCTGAATATGCAGTTGTTCTACAAGCCGTAATTAAATACCAATTGACGCAGAATTTTCCATGGGGTAAGTGTTTTGGACAAAGCAGAAGTCCTCGTATAATTATTAGAGTTTGAAAAAGACCATAACTGTTGAATGAAATTAAAAAAATCTAGTGTAAATACTCCAATAAAAATGTGAATATTTGTTGTTACATTTTGTCACATATTTATTGCATGCTTTTTTCTTCAATTTGACTTACGTATGGAATTGTACATTTTGTAATTATGTAAAATTTTTTAAACCTCACGACAATGGGGTTATTATAAACAGGTGGCAATTATGGTCCGATTCTCACGGAATTTTTCATAGGACTTGGGTTAGGACCAGAATAAAAGTCTATTGTTTTTGAAGATGTTCGCAAAATATTTAGTAGTTGAAATGGAGTAAAACCGAACATTTTCCCGATTTTGGTGTTGCTCTACAGATCACAATTAAAGACAAATCCACAAAGAATTTTGCATAAAGTTATAGTTAAGGACTCGGCAGAAGGCTAACACTTTGGATAGCCATCGGATAATATTTAGCCGGCAAAATGGACCACAACTTTTGTGTTAAACACGAGGACATAAATATAGGACCGATGTCACCAAAGTTAACATTTTTTACATTGCTGTTTGGCATTATTTTAGGAAAAATCGACAAAACTGGGTTTGAACCTACAGAGAGTTTTTGAATGTAGTTCGTGTAATTTTGTATGTATTGTGTTGTGATGGTACTCAAGTTAAAGCTTCCTGCATTTTGGCCATAGCTGAAAAAGGTTTTGTGCAATTTTCTAAATGCGTAGGCAAAAATTACGGTATGTTTTCTCCGGTAATTGAAATATGCATAAGGTTCAATATTTATTGTAAGAACGGCTGGACAGATTTGAAGAATTCACACCAATTCGAAATGCTCCCTTGGTAGTAAAGGATAACATTTAAAAAAATGCTATAAAATATGCCAATACAAATGTGAATACTTTTGATACCTTTTGTGATATTTTTGTCATTTATAATATCCATTTGACTTTCTATTTTTATTTTAATTTTACATTTTGTAATATTCTTTGTTTTGGTTTTAAAAAGCGAAGAAGATCAAATTAGTGCACTCAAATCAATAACGTCTACTTGGTCGCAAATTGGGTAATTGAGAAATGGTCAAGGAAGTGCTGGCCTTCAAGATTTACGCCATATGAGGGTCATAGCAAAAAGTGGATTTATATCCTTTCAGAACTTTAAAGGAAAATACATAGCCAAACATCAAAATAAGAAGTGGTCGCGAGAGGAATTTTGGGCTATATCGGTGAACCAATATTATACACTCATTACCGGAAATGATTTCACAACAGCTCATGCTATTGAAAATGTCGCAGAAACATGTAGATGGGAGTATATGAGGGTAATACCTAAACGGGACTGGTATACCTCTTTCCATCGTAAGTTTCAAATATCTATCTTAAATGTTGCATTTCTATCTTTATCAGAAGGGACGGGCGGGCTGGCAGTTGGACATAGTGGCTTTAATTTTTCTCTCTGTGTTCTCAACGAATATTTTGTGGTGTAACAAATTGATGACAAAACAATTTGCCCCGATCATATGGTTGTATGCAGGAAATATGGGTTAAGTTTGCCTTTCCATGATGATCACGATTACTAAATAAACTTTTGAGAAAAGCCTTCAGAGAAGCCGGATATCTGGAAAACCCAAAAGTTGTTTTTTGAAATGGAATTTTGTGTGGAATTGTTTTTGAATGGCTTCTCGAATGGAAAAATTTAAAATTCTTAGAGGAAAACTTTGAAAATTCGGGAAAAGGTGAAATTTTGATTTTTTTGTCGATTTAAGGTTGAAAATTCTGTTTTAAACCTTGCAAATTGAGAATATAAAAACGGATTGGGTGAATTTTGACCCTTTTGAGAGGTTAACTAGACAAATATTTCATGGACTTAGGCTGTGAGAAATTTAACATGCTCCTATTGATTGTCATTTTATTATGAGAAATTGCGACATTTTTTGAAGTAATTGAACCACATTGCCGTATATCGCACATCATATTACGATCATTGAAAATGCAAAGTGATATTTAAAAACCCAAATGTAGTGAAGAAATTAATTTGTTTTTTAACACTGAAATTATCCAATTTCCGACCACAAGTATATATATAAAATAAAAAAAAAAAATTATTAGGCAAGACATGGCTCACCTGATCAGCTAGTTTATTACTAAACGTTTTCTTCACTTCATGATGGTGGGTATTAATAGATCGCAGCGGCGGAACTTAACCTTGTTTTTATCTATTTCTTTTTGTTTATATAGAAAAACTGAGTTGCAATTGTAAATATTCATCAAAGAATGAAAACCTGACCGTCATTGAGAAAGTTTTAAATTCTTGTGTAGAGCAAAACGTTGAATTTGTAGAATTTAATGCTTCGACAACGAATTATCGGAAATTTCTTAAACAACTATCGACAATTATGGGAGCAAATCTTATGCTTGATATAATTGATAACCATTAATAAATAACGATTTGGTTATTATTTCCGAAATAATAATCTATATACACCAAAGAAAAATGAAAAACTAGTAGGGGGAGTCTGACCGCTTGACTACTTCCGTATCTGAGCCTACAATTATCATTTCTGAGAACAGATGTGACTTTGGAAGTATTTGCGTTGGCTAGAAAATATGAATAGGACCTTCAAACACCTAGAATCAGGCAATACTGCTATATCGCAATACAAGCCGGTTTTAGTGAGAAATTGTTTCAGTTAGGTTTTCATATTTGAGTGCCTGTAAAACCAAATTTCAACTATTGTGCTTGTAAATTGTGTCTAAAAAATGCAATAACTTTTGCCCTACTTGACGTACAAAAATATTTACCACCTTCACAACGGTTCAACTTTGCAATATCCAAATCTTTAAAGAAACCCAATAATACCAAAACGAATAGACATCTCTCCGTAGCGCCAACGACCAAATTTGTAGCTAATGTATGGTAATGTTAAATCTTTACCAAAACTAGCTGACCCAATCCGCTTTTGAAGAAAATAACACAAAGCTACCTCAAATGAGATGTATTCTTTTAACGTCGAAACTTTGCTAAAAAGATCGTCTTGTAACTGTAGTCAATCTAACAAATTGCTAGTTTTCATGGTTTAAGATTATTGATATTTTCCTTCTGTTTTACTTGCTCTGATATCTAGAAATTTAATGCGAATAGCACATCTATAATAACAATATGTAATCCAATTGTTATAACCCACATGTAACAGGTCAACTCAATTATTAGTGTTGTAAAGAGCTTAGAAAGATTTTTTAGTCAAATGAGCTGTTATTTGGAATTTTAAATTCGTTTTTAGTTTTGTTTACCTCAAACTTACGATGTCAATCAAAACACATTATTTTAATGCCAATTATATGGAAAAAATGTTAGTATTTCAGAAATAAACGTGTGTAAAGCTTAAATAATATTTCTAAAGCTATTTTTTGTGTTTCTTTTCTTCCTTTGATTGGTTCTTCGCGAAATAACTTTTGACATCTAGAGAGAGAGAGAGAGAGAGAGAGAGAAAGTGGTTTCTCATGGTAGAGGGTACAATAATTTCGTTTTGGTTGAATTTAGTCGAAAAAAAATACAAAATCAGATATTGTCCATCAAAAGTATTAAACCCAGTCTATTTTACTCATGTGATTCTCTATTGTTTGATTATAATATGAATGTAAACGTGTATATACGTGTTATATACTACAAAGAAAGAAAAGCATGTAATAAAGTATTTATTCAAATGTTATCTAAATATATACGCACTCGCAAATCATTTGCGACGAAAAACATCCTTTTTCCACTGCTCATCATTCCCATCATCATCACAGTGCCACCATTACAATGTGTGAGTTCTATGGACCAGCCATTTATACCTCTTCGATACCCGGCGCTCTTAAAGTTATCTTTTGTATTTAATTTAAGAAATATTCAATTTTAATCATTTTAATTGAATTATCTAAATATTTTAGCGCAAAATTGTTTTCCACAGCAATAACAAAAAAGCGCGCGCAAAGCAAAAACAACAGCAAAAAATTGCCAAACAACCTCCAGTAACGCAGCTCCAGCAAAACAAAAAAAAAAACCTCAACCTGATACACATACGAGCGGCGTCGACATGAGCCATTAAACAAGTTTTGTTTCTTGTCTGACTGGCTGCTAGCTGGCTGGCTAGCTGGGTGACTTGCCGCTGCTATTGTGGTAGGGATTTTTTACTTTTGGTTTTTTCGATTGCATTTTTTGCCAATGCAATCAACTTGAATGCATTTTGCCGTCGGTAGAACACAGCGTGTAAATTAACAAACCAAGAAATTGCAGGAAAAAACTTCGAGCTGAAGTACATATCTGCAATAGCGAAGTGGCGACGGTTTAACAGCATCAATTTGCTGGAAAATTGCTTGCAACAAAGGCACAACGGAACGCAGGCAAGGCAACGAATCATCATTACCTGTTCTCCTAAAACTGAACTTAATTTTTACGAGTCTTGCAAAATGGGGCACAAAAGCGGTTGGGGCAACAGAGCGGGTGCAGTATGATGGGTGTCCAATATGAGTTGTGTGTGTTGCTATTCATTGTTGTTGTTGTGAACAACCATGTGTTGCTGGCTGGTTGAGCTTTCTTGCCTGTCGTATGCCGTCTTTCTCGTTGATTTGTGTGTAAGGTGGCCAACTGCAGCAAC